ATAATTCATAAGTCATAACATCAAAACTATGGTTTTCAAAAAAAAAATTATATATATATAAATGAAAAAAAATTAGCAAGGTCAAGTCCGCCGGGTTAACTCGGCTAACTCGACAGAAATTGACGAGTAAACTCGGCGTAATCAGCCGAGTTAGGCGCTAGGCGGCCGAATTAGGCGCTAGGCGGGCGCCTAGGCGGTCAGTCTCCTAGGCGGGAGCCTAGGGAGGAAATCGCCACGGCTTAGGGGCGCCTAGCGCCTAGGCGGCGATTACTCGGTGCTTATGCGGGATTTTTGCAACCCTGAATTGAAGAGAGAACGCTCAGGATTCTGGACTCCAAGAACCGGGAAACGCGTAGGAAGTCTGTGAAGATGGTGAAGGTTTGGTGGACACATCACGGGGTAGAGGAAGCGACTTGGGAGCTGGAGTCAACCATGAGGGAGCGATATCCAGAGTTGTTCTCGTCAGGTACCTCGTTTCGACGTTTGTTAGTTGCTTGTTCTTGCTTTTTTGTTTAGTTGAGTAGTTAGCTTTGGTGGTTGGTGCTTTGAGCTAGTGCTTTAGTTCCTGGTTGTTGGTTAGAAGTTGGTGGTTGTGTTTGGTTTAGAGTTTGATATGCTCAATATCTCCGTGGTTTAAATTCTTTCAATCCTTGTATGATATGACTTCTTTCTTGTTCTTGATATCCTTTGAATCCTTTGAGTTTTGATCAAAAAAAGGGATGTTTTTGACGCTCTTGTCACATTATTGTTCCATTTCACCGTTTGTTTAATTTGTCGTACCCAAGCTTCGGGGACGAAGCTTCTATGAAGGAGGAGAGGATGTAACACTTTGTAATCCAAATTCGATTAAGGAATTAATTAAGTAATTAATCCTAATTCAATTGGTATTTTAATTCCTTAAATTCCTGAAAATTCAATAGTCGGGGACTAGTAATTGACTAGTCAATCCAAAGTCAAATGTTGTACCTAAAGCTTTGTGAGTAGTTCCCTTGTTCCCTTACACATTTCGTCTTAAGACATTTCCTTGGCAATAGTCTTTCAAGCTAACCTAGGAAGACACATTTCATTTCTTCAAACAGTCTTCAAAAACAATAAGCTCCACCTTCTCTCTAAAAGCTAGACAGCTTTCTCTCCAAGCCACACCTAGAGCTACCAAGATCTTCCAAGTTTGTCTTCATGATTCTACCTTTCATACCTTTGAGCATCTAGGAGGGTAAGATCTAAGCTCTTTTTGTGTTTTTAGTGTTTTCTAAGATATCTTTTTATAAAGGTGAAATCTTTATGTTGTTTTGGTGTGTTCTTGAAGTGGGTGTGGAAAGGGGACCTTGTTAGGAGCTTGTGGAGTGTTGTGAGTGAAGGATAAGTCTTCAAGAGATAACCCATGCTCTACAAAATCTATTTTGCTTACCTATATGATGATTTGTTGGATTCTACATGTGATTTTGCTATGAAATGTGAGTGTTTATGCATTGTCTTGTGAAAATGCATATCTAGAGCTTGTTATTAGGGTTCATGTATGTCATTGCTTGGCTATTCCTTTGATTCAAGTCATTTTGTTGTATTTAGTGAGATTTGGCATGTTTTGGACTTGAATTTGAGCTTGGTGTTGAAAATCCCCGAAGGGATATTTTTGTACAGTACATGGTACCCGCGGGCGGAACGGCGAGCAGTGGCCTACCCGCCGCCCCACCCGCGGGGAACGCGGGTTGAAGAAGGTGTTCCCGTGGGCGGAACCACGGATAGGGGTCTACCCGTGGGCTCACCTGCGGGGTACGATATGTTGGTTGTTGGGGATTTGTTCCCCGTGATTCTTTTGACTCGGTATTTGGTCTTTTGACTTCCCGATGTTCTTTTGTGGAACTATTTGAGCGCCTTCTTGATGTTTCGTATGTCTAGAACTATATGGTAGGAATCCATGTAGGATTTGGTGTCTTGAATCGTGCTAAGTGTTAAAAATGTGTTCAATGTTGCAACTAAATTATAGATTTCTGCTTAGTTTGTAATAGTTCACAGAGCATATAGGAAAGGTAAATCACGCTAAACAATATCTTTTGCAACTTGACTCTATTAATAATATTATGTTTTATTTGATTCGAGTGATGGGTGGCTACATTTTGTGTTTAGATTTAATTTTTAAAAGTTGAATAGATTTTTTTTATTGGGGCTGCACATTATTTTATATATCATTTTAGTAAGATTATCGTATAAAGAAAAAATGGATAGGCAACGGAAATTGAAAAATGCGCTCCTCTTTGTAACTATAAATTGAAGACTTTTTCTTAGTCAGTTATTGCGCTATCATTCTGTTAGCCACTTTTTAGCGTCTTTTACTCTTTGGCTCTGAACCCAAGAATGCTCTGCACTTCCTACATAACTGCAGTTCTGCAAGAAATAAACTTGGGAATTCATTCTCTTAATGTGATTTCGTTCTCCGATCGATCTCGAATTCAATAGCTAATGGTATGTTGTTTTGAATTTCATCTGGAAGTTCGATCTCCTTTTCTTTCTTTCTGTATCTCAGAGGTGAGGTGAAGTGACAAATGGCGAATAATGTGGCTGCAATTGTCGAATCTTTCGGACAACACAACAAAGAATTAAAGAAACTTTTGGCAACTACGGGAGGTAATGCTATTGTGGGAGGTGTGGGAGGCGGCCTTAATGTGAAACGTGTGGGAAGCCTTAATGTGAAGGGTGTGGGAGGTAACCTTAGTGCGAAAAGTGTGAGAGGTGATGTTAATGTTAAAGGTGTGGGAGGTGATGTTAATATAGAAGGTGTGAAAGGTGATGTTAATCTAGAAGCTGTGGAAGGTAATGTTAATGTGAAAGGTGTACAAGGTAATGTTAATGTGAAATTTGTGAAAGGTAACGTTAATGTGGAAGGAGTGAATGGTCATATTAATGTGAAAGGAGTGAAAGGTAATGTTACCGGAGATGCAGAACAGTACAATGAAGCTGAAGAGTGACGATAATAATGTAGAACAGTACAATGAAGCTGAAGAGTGACGATAATAATGTAGAACAGTCCAATGAAGCTGAAGAGTGACGATAATAATGTAGAAGAGGATTGACTTCCTAATCAAGGCCGTTCCAGTCAAAGTAAAGAGTCCTATGAGAAGTCTTAATTTGAACTCTCTTTCAAAATATATATATATACTAGTTTTTTACGCGCAATTGGGATAATGCCCAATGTTTTTTTTCTTAAATAAGTATTTTAAAGTATATCAATTCAAGATTATATTAGAATTGTTCATGCATAGATAATTGAATGTTAATTTGCGTATTTAAATTGGTAATTCTAAGTTTACAAATGCAAAATAATATAATCTAGATTGATTATAATTGTCAATAAAATAATTGTATGGGTATATGGTTGAAACCAAATACGTGACATAAGGGAGGACAAATAACAAAGGACAAATAACAATTAAAGCATAAAATATTAAATATATACCAATATTGTTTGAGGAGATTCCGACAGTAGGATTTGTGATTAGAGTTCCATTAAGACTTTAATATTAGAATTAGATTAATGTTGTAGTTATAGAATTAGATTAATGTTGTAGTTATAACTCTATATTAGAAGTGATCTTTGGAAAGAATGACCAGGGATCAAGTCTCACCGGCGGCAGTGTGGGAGTAACCTCTCAAAGTGCGCATTAAGCAAGGTCTAGCCTCTGTGATTCATGTTTAGTTGAGTTATCATGATTCATGATTTACATCCTCCCAGATGCTCTGTCGGGCTGGGGTGTGAGGGGCCCTTAGGGTTGGGATTCAACCTTTTGGAAAGAGTTTAATATTAGAAGGTTCAACCTGACTAACGGTGAATTAACTGTACTTAATGGAAAAGTTAACGGATCCGATAAATAATCATATAATTAAGGATAAATTAGGAAATTTTAAAGAAAAATTAAAATCTGAACAATCTAAACTATTCATTTGATTTAATAATTTGACGGTCATTTTTTTTCTACCCAATGTTTATAATTAAATAAATATTTAAAAGTATATATATGCAAGATTATATATGAGAAGTTCAACATAAGTAATTTAATGTCTAATTTGTTTATTTAAATATGTAATTCATAGTATATGAATACAATGTAATACATGAGATTCATTATAATTGTTACTAAACTTTTTTTAAATAGTAACCAAGTATTTTTGTTGCAAAGGGTTCTAATATACAAGATCAATGAATGAATCAACTGTACCAGTCCTTTAGGTGTTTTGCTCAGTGTTTATTTAGTTCAACCATTATTGTTGAATAAATTATTCCTAACCTGCAGTTCCTCTAAGTAGAGCCTCTCAGCCTCAGGAGTCAACTTAAACTTAAGTGAATAAGCCCCTTCTTCCATTATCTCAAACACTGCAGCAAACTTTTTCAACAAAGCAATGAATCTTCGATTTCCCTGGAGACCCAATGCTTTCCTGTACTTACCTAATTCTCCAAGTGCCACGACTCTGTCAGGCTGGCTCATCAGAAGCTTCCTAATTTTCAAAACCAGTTTAAGCTTCTTCTCCCTTTGAATTACATTATCAAGGGGAAACTCTTTCCTCCTTTTGACAACAGTTCTGATTGGATAAATGGGCAAACGGGTTTTCCTCAAGTTACCCAAAACCGCCATTGTCTCTTCCTCAAAACCTTCACCGTCGCTCGCCTCGCTTTTGGCCAAAGGTTCAACCTTTCCTCAAAAACCCAAGCATTTTCTTAGAAATGATGTCTTTTCTAACTCTTGTCTAATTACTGAGAGTAGGCAGCTAACGAAATTTCAATATAGCCCTGCAGTTTTTCCAGCCGAAGCCTAGCTCGGGATAAAATGATGTTGCATTACCTGTATGCTAATGCAGAGGTATAGATGCTTGCATGTAGCTACACATTCGTTGTAGGGATTCTGCTGGCATTCTTTCAAAAAAACTTGGATGAACATTTGCCTTTGTAGAATCAGCCAACTATGGAATCCTTAAAATGCATTCTCTTTCTTGTGTGGTTCCTTTCGTTGGTTGATGTAGTAAATAGCACAATCAGAAATTTTTTGTTAAAAAAAAAAAAACAAAAAACATACACACTATATCAATGCCTTTACCACCTCTGAGTTATTTTCCTCAAAAGGATTGGTAGAAAGATGGCCTAGGTTCTTGTTAGATTCAACCCAGCTCTTCCCAGGAATCTTTTTCACCCTCTTATGTCGCATATCCCACCAAACCTTGAGAGCATCATCCCACCGTCCAATCGCTTTGTACACATTACTCAGGTACACGTAACTCAGATGATACTCAGGTTTTAATTCAATAATTTTCTTTGCAATTCGCTGTGCAATAGTTGGATCCGTGGTATTGCTACAAGCTCCGAGCAGGCAGGTCCAAAGAGATGGATCATTTTTGAACTCTGAACTGTTTATCAAACACTCAGCTTCTTCTAGCTCCCCAGCCCGGCATAGAAGATCAATCATGCAGCCGTAGTGCTCAAGCTTGGGTTTAATTTTGTAATCATCCATCATCGAACCAAAATACTTGCGCCCCGTGTCTACAAGGCCAGTATGACTACAAGCAGAAATAACAGAAACGAAAGTTATATAATCAGGCTTGATACCCTCACTAATCATCTTGTTGAACATTTTAATAGCTTCTTCTCCCCTGCCATTCTGTGCAAATCCGGATATCATCGAGTTCCATGAAACCACATTCCTAGCAGGCATTCGCACAAAAACATTATATGCAGCATCAAAACATCCGCATTTTGCATACAAATCAACTAACGCAGATTCAACTACAATGTCCCTGAAGCCACCCCGCCTTAAGAACTGGCAATGAACTTCCTTCCCCGGCTTCAAAGCTGCCAACCCTGAACAGGCACGGATAACAGTTCCGAACGAGTAAAGTTCAACCTCCTCCGTCATCCTAAATAAATGAACCACTGTATCAAAATCGCCCTTGTGGCAGTATCCAGTTAGCAAGGCACACCAAGAAACTGAATTCCTCTCAGCCATGCCATCAAAAACCCGACGAGACTCATTTATAAGCCCACATTTGGCATACATATCTACTAAACTACTATCCACAAAAATATCACCACATATCCTGAGTGCAACCACCTTTGCATGCAATTGTTTTCCTTGCTTCAACCTACCTAAATTTCCCACAGCAGTCAATACACTCCCAAAAGTATGGGCACTTGGAAGCAACTTGTGATTCCTGTGCCCTGAATGGAAGATTTTCAAAGCTTCCCCAAACAAATCATTTTTAGTAAGGGCTGAAATTACAGAGGTCCAACAAAAATCATCAAGAAGTGGCATTTCATAGAACAACTTCCGTGCATCACCTGCTTCAAAATTCTTCCCATACATATCAATCAACCCACTAACTATCACCCCACTATCATCAAAACCACGAGTGATTACAGCCCCATGGAAACACTGCCCAAGTCTCAACTCCCGGAGCTCAGAACATGCCTTGATCAAAGTAGATAAAGTAAATGCATTTGGCTCAACTCCAAAATCCAGCATTTCCTCATACAATGCAAGCGAAAGCTGGGGCTTTCCCACCCGAATATAGCCCGATATGATTGACGACCAAGAAACCACATCTTTGTAGACTAACCCATCAAAAAGACGTCGGGTTTCAAAGAAATTTCTTCCAAGCTTGAAGTAAAGAGCGAGGAGGCTGTTGCCAACAAACCGGTCGACATCAAGGCCAGCCTTGATCACGTGGGCCTGGAACTGGAGGCCAAGGTTGAAAAAATTGGCTTTGGTGCACCCTTGTACAAGGGTGGCGTATAGAATTGGTTTGGCAGTAATGCCGTCTGGCGAGCCTAGAGAGTTGAGGAGCTTAAGAGCTTTTAAGAGATGGCCTGAATTGCAAAGCTGGATGATTTCAGATTCTCTAGAAGCTGGGGAGAGAAAAGTGCAGTAATGTCGTTTGGTTCTGCTGCTACACAACAGCTTCATCAACATTATTAGCCCAACTGATGTAAGGGGTCATTTGGTTTGAAAATCGAAATCACAGCAAATGCTACCTGCAATGTACTAATATGAAATTCAGTATATGTTTCCAGTATTCATTTGTGAGAGTATACACATTTAGTGTATTTTATATATATATATATATATATATATATATTTTTTTTTTTTTTTTTTTTTTTTTTTTTTTTTTCGAACTATACATATTTCTGAGTATTTGTTTTTCAAAAAAAAATTATACATATTTGAGATGTATGTATTTAGGTATTTTCGTATATACATTTCAGAGTATTTCAAAATTAAAAATAAAAACATTTAGGGTGTGTTTGGTTAACACGTTTTGCTCTACAGAATGCGAATCAAAGTAATTGGTATTGTTTGGTTAATAGGTTTTTAGAACACTACTATGGGTTTTAAATACCCCTTAATTGAAAAACTCATCCAAATAAAATAAGGGTATCATCCATTTTTATTGTTTATTCATTATCATCCCTTTGATTGGTGCATTTAGATTTATTTTTATTTTTTTTGTTCATATTGATGTTTTGAATGTCTTTATATTAGAATCAATTATCTTGATTTTGTGTTCTTGTATATTTTTAAAATATTTATTCCCAATATAGGATCATACATAACCAAACAACTAACCAAACAATATTATTGATAATCATTCTCATTCCACCTAGTACCAAACATGCAAAATACTTACACTAAAATCCATTACCATTATTAAGTATTTGATACCCCATGTGCGACCCAAACACACCCTTAATCATTTGTTAAATACCTTGCGGATTTTGGTTCCTGCCGGAGTTCTCTGTTCTTCTGCCTGGTCGGTTTTCCTGCGTCGCGTTGAGCGCCGTCGTGTCGTGTGCTGTCGTTGGTGTCACTCGACGCCGCAAGGAGCGTCGTCTGGCGCCACCGTGCGATTCGCTGCGTGCGGCAAGTGGTGTCGCTGAGAGCTGCTCTAGGCAGCGTTTAGAGGCGTTGCGTTCCAGTAACCGGCGTGCGGCGGCTGAGCAGTGCGGATCAGCGGTGGTTCGGCGGCGGTTGTAAGCGTTGGCTGCCCTTTTCCTTATTTTGTTTATATGGGCCAGGATATGGCTTGTTTGGCCCAGATCCGGAAACAATTTTATTTTACCAATAAAAGTTACAGAGTTAATACCTAATTTGATCATCGACTATTAAGATTTTCCTATTTTAATTCTCAATTTCAAAATTTGCTTAATTTTATTGTCAATTATGCAATGTTAATCAAAATGATCTTAATCAGGACTATTTTGATGTAGAAAAAAGAATATTTTAAGTAAAAATTACATAATTGAGATAAAATTGAACAAGTTTAGAAGTCGATGATCAAAATGGCGAAATCCTAATAGTCGAGGGACCAAATCGGGTATTCACACATACTAGTTTAATTATAGTAATGTTGAAGTATTATGAAGTATATTAATTGCACTTATGGCCCGTTTGGTTCACGGAATCAATTTAGAGGAAATATGAATGTTATTCCATAGGGAATGGAATAGGTAAGGAATAGAATATGATTTGTATTATGTTGTTTGGTTCGCTGAAGGAATAGACTTTAGAAATTTTATTCCTACGTTTGGTTGGTTAAGGAATAGAAACGAAATATATTTTAAAAGACATAAATGTCCTTGTACAAAATTTATTATTATTATTATTATTATTATTATTATTATTATTATAATAGCACATTAACAAAAGGAAAAGAGTGGCCACATAATATATTTGCAAATTAAGACTTCTATCTACAGCAGCTCACCCATCAAGGCATCAACTACATCAGACCGTCTGCAACTCCATTGCAATCGTGATCGAAGCCTCGCCGGCGACAGGAGCTAGGGTTACGCAGGGGGAACAATAAGCCGTGACCACACCAAGGACATCGCCACCAGCCCTTTCTTTGTCAGCGACCTCTGTTGGCCGAAAATTGAACGGCTGCGCAACAACCACCGATCCGAAAATTCTGGCGACCGCCGACGATCCTACCAGCGGCGAACGTTCTTTGGACATCCCCGACACTATCCACACCATCTGATCCTCCCTGCAACGACTCCATCGCCGGGGAAGCTTCGAGCGACGAAGTCTGGGTCCGATTGCGAGAAGCCTCAGCCGACCTTCGAACCTGAATTTCGGAAAATCCATGAAAGATGTGTGTTATATATCTTAGTAATCTCTGTCTTCTTTTCTTTTGCCGCATATTTTCAGTGATTTTGATCTCGATTTCAATTTTTCACGCCTTTGTTGCATTTAATTAAAAAAAAAAAGATAAAAGAATTGAAGATACTATTTGAAGCTCTGCAAAATGATATACTGGTTGGATATATTTAAACAGAACATATATTTGGCTGTTGAATCTCATTGTAAAAATTGTAAATTTATTACTTTTTTGGGGGAAAACATTTTTTAGGTCCCGAAACACTAAAATTGCAGTGCTTTAGTGAACCAAAATAACATATTATTATAAGAATATCTTTGTTTGAAGCTTCAATTTTTGCAAATGGCAGAAGGGATTGTGATGACAAAGAGGAAGAGAGAAATAGCCTAAAAATGTTTAGATTAAATAAAAGGGTAAAATAAGAAATCAAATAAAACATCTATTCTTGATGACTCAGGAATAGATTAATACCAAGGGGGCCCTAGTAATAGTTATTACCTCATTTGAGGTAATAGGCTATTACCAGGAATATTATTCCTGGTAATATAAAGGTTTGTCAAACAAAAGAATAGACCTATTACTGGGAATGCTATGACATTCCAGGCCTATTCCGTGAATCAAACGGGCCATTAAGGTCATTTGACAATGTATGTTATTGTATGACTTTAGATTTTAGTTTTATTTTTCACGTACACTAGTTTCATTATAGCAATAATTATACTACATGTTCATTTGACAATAATGTGCTCTATTTTTAGTTTCATTTTTCACACACACTAGTTCCATTATAGTAACACTAAAGTACCATTTTAATTCTACCACAGTTTCATTCGACGATCATGGTCTACACAACGATGTGTGGACCATGGTCCACTATATAACAATTGAATTTTTAGGCATGTGGTTTTAATCTTCATCTTTATATGGTGGACCACTAGACCATCGTCTAAAATGGTGTCGTTTCTTTTATGGTCCGTTTAGAAATTTGAAAAATATTTTCTGAAAAAATATTTTAAATTTTTGGTATTTGGCTGAATGTCAGCAAATTATTGTTTTATGTTTGGCTCAAATTTAGAAAATTGTATTTTTTTCTGTTTGGTTTATTTTACAGAAAATGAACATATTATTTGTAATAATAATAATAATAATAATTATTATTATTATTATTATTATTATTATTATTATTACAGACACAGAAAAATTGAAGTCAACAAATGGGCTGGTTCATATGTTTTGGCCTTCGTTTGATGAAATTGGACTAATTATTGATTTATTTGGATTGATTAAATTATCCAATTAAATTGACCTAATTGCCCGAATTAAATATAAATTGAAGAATAGTGAACTCAGATTATAAAGATGGATTGATGCCCAAGAAGAAAATATTTAAATTAATTAATTAATTTGAATATGTGATAAGATATTCATATATTTAAATTAATTATTTAATTTGAATATGTGATAAGATATTCATATATTTAAATTAATTAGTTATTTGAATATATGATAAGATTATGATCCTAGATGCAATGGTGGCTAGATACATTGTTGACAAATATTCATATTATCTTAAATATTAATTGATAATATGAGGATAATATTGAAGAGTCTTAAATATTGAAGGATAATATTGAAGAGTTGGTGTTCTAGTGGAAGTCTTCCATATTCTTCCTTATAAATAGAACTCTTCATTCATTCCAAAGAACACACTTGAAGAATTGAAGAGAAGCTCTGGATTGAAGATCAAGCCAAGCTAAATGATTGAAGATCAAACTAAGTCAAATGGACTAAAGATCAAGCCAATTAAAGACTGGAGGCCATTCAACGAAGATCAAGCAACAAAGCCTTCTTTGAAGAACAAACTGCATTCAGAGGCCCTGTAGCCAAAGTTTTAAGTCAAGTAAACTAAATGGAGAATCAGAGGATTTTGATAGAGATCTTGTACCATCGCAATTTTGAAATTTGAATATATATATATATATATATATATATATATATATATATATATATATATATATATATATATATATATATATATATATATATATTGTTCATATTTTCCTGTTTATAGATTTTGGCACGCCCAGTGGGACATCTCTTCACAATGATCTAAATGGTATCAAGAATTTCCACGTCCAAGATGACTTACGCTCAAGCTACCCGCTCCAATGCATCGTTCGTGGCCAGTTCCGATGATAGTCGCGAGATGCAAGGTGCAATCACTCGGAGTCGAGCGAGGAACATGGGAGTGCAAGTGGCTGAAACTCAGAGCATGGTGCGTAATATCATCCGAAGGATCAAAAACAACTCCACCACTTCAAGGAAAGAACTACTTATGATAGAGGTCCATTTTCTACAACCGGGACTGTTGGTAGCAAGAGCTCTACTCCCTCAAATAAAGCTACTGGAAGCGAAAGTCAGTCTCTTATTCCTTCAACAGGAACTACTAGCAGTGGAAGCTCATCTCCAATACCCAGTCGTCACCTTTATGGAAAACAACACCGGAATGGACTCGCGTCTACACAGCCATGCCTGCTATGGCAACGAATACAGCTTCGGTGGAGGAACAACTAGCAAACATCAACAAAGCTCTTGAGGAGGTAACTGCACTCCTTAATAACCAAGAAAAGAGGATAGATGATCTAGTTGAAAAAGTAGAGAGCGTGAGGAACGACGAAACGAGTTGAGCTTCTGGGAAGCAGCCTCAAACTCAAGTGGAAGAGGATGATGTGGAGTTACCAACCCATGGCGATAGGTCTGCTGCAAGGATGGAGGAAGTAGTATCCCACCCACCACCTGCTGAAAAGAGTGTTCCAATCTCCGGGGCACGATTCTCGTGGAGCAACTAAATGACTACATCATAGAAGCTATCAAAGGGAAGCTTGAGGTGGGACAACGCTCTTATACATATGAGGAGCTAAGGATGCCGCCTAGGTATCTGTAACACCCCACTTTTCTTAAACTTAATTACAGTTCTAAAACCAAATTAAGATAAACTAAGCAAGGCAAATGGTTTGATAGAGTTCTTATTTATAGAGGCACAAAACCCTAGAATGATCCCTCATGATTGGTGGAGGGCAAAAAGGTAAAGTGGCTTGCTAAAAGATGAATCAGGATGAAGCTTTTGAATGGTTAGTGGTCCACCATGCTTCATGGACCAAGACTATAAGGATAGCTTTAAATAGTTTGGGGATCAAAATAGATTTTTCCAAAAAATGATTTCTAAACAAACACTTGGTTCAGGTTTCTCCCGGTCTCACTCAGATTGGTTTCTCAGTTTAAAACTTGGTACACGAAGTACCTGAAATTTAGGATTTTGGAATTAAAATAAGTTTCGGTGTTGAATTAATTTAAAATGTAACTCAAAATAATTTATTCAAACACCAATTTATTTCATTTTTTTTAAGGGAGTGATATTTTGGAATTTCTTAAAATTGGATTTATAAAATTAAATTTTGGGTTGTCACAGCGGTCTAGGCGGCCGCCTAGCCGGCCGACTCGGCCATTTTTTTAAAAGTTTAGGGTAGAAACTTTGTCGAGGCATAACTTTTGACTCGGTTGTCCGTTTTGGACAAATTTTGTTTTCAAATTGCGTATTTTTTCGAGATCTATCCAATGTAATTGCGTATTTTTTTCAAATTGCCCGTTTTGGCCCATTAATTTCTCAAAAAATGTTTCTTTAGCTCTTAATTTTAGTTTTTTATGTGCTTATATGGCTTAAACCATCTTTTGAACAATTTTAAAATGATATGAACCTAGTCCAAGGTTCAAATAAAGATGGAATATTGTCCCAAGAATGCTCTCAATGCAAAGATAGAGATGGATCAAAATACCTTAAACCTCACGAGAAACCCTTTGTCTCGAATCCTCAAAGACTTGGAAGAATCCCGTGTAGCTTCAAGTACCTCGATGATGCAATCTTCAATCAACTAGAGTCGGATCTAGTTTCCTTCGATTCAAGAACGAGTCCACGAACCTAAATCTAAGGTTGAAGAAAGTAAGTTTGATTCGAGTCCACGAATCAATTTGCTAGTCGAGTCCACGACTAGCCACTAATTGAGTCCACAATTAGCCATAAGGTTTCTTACACAAGTGTAAATAAAAACTTAAGAATTTTATTGAATTAAAGCCTCCTTAAAACTGATATGGATGTGCCCTATTTATAGGTATAGGGGCAGCATCCTAAATACAATAGGAAAAAGAGTCCTAAACCTACTCTAGAAAACAAGTAAATAGAGTCCTATTTAGAAAGAGGTTTAAAGAATCTTTTTTAAATACTAACTAGTGTTTTCTCTTTAATTCCAAACAATTTAAAATAATGATGAACACAAATAATAAAGCTGATTTGAGCCTTGGATCTTGTGATTGGCCCAATTTGTACTCTTAATGGATCTTCATTATGTTGGGCCGCATCATTTGGACTTAGGCCTTGTGATTGGCCCAATTGGTACTCTTGATGGATCTTCATTATGTTATACCGCATCATCCTCCCCTTCTTGAAAATGATTCGACCTCGAATCTTGTAAGCATTGTCTTCGATCCATGATATCACTTGAAATGGGCCACTATAATACTTTCCTCTATCGAATGGAATTATTATTGGGCCTTCTTGTTTCTTCCACCAACTATTCTTTAAGGATGTAGTTATGGTCCTTGTGATGAGCCCAATATAGATGCTTATTGGATTACATGTGAACTGGTTCTTATTATTCTCCCCTTCTTGAAAAGGATTCGTCCTCGAATCCAAATCTTCAATGAAAGACAAATTAGCAAGCTCACTTTCTGTTTTATCACGCTCATGGAACTTTTCTTTGGGATGCTTGACACAAGTCGTTCCAATCATCATCCTACAATCAACAAGTAAGGCAATTAAGTCTAATGACACAACATGGAATTTAAACATTCTGGATGGTAATAATTCAACAAAATGAGATATATTAAATTTAGGCTTCTTGTTTGAATTGTCAACAAGCACAAAATATTTCCTCCTAGTGCTTAAGGTAAAATCAAACAGAAAATTCATGGAAATATCAAGTAATGATTTAGATGTATTATGGTGGTAAGTAGCACAAATCTGAACATAAGATTCTGCATCTTTTTTCTTCTTTGGCCAATGAAAATATCCATGCAAAACATCATCACTCTTTGGAAAATCAAAATGTCCTTTGGAAAATCAAAATGTCCCTTATGTGAATCAAAAATTAAATCATTGCCCAAAATAAAGAAAAATGTGCCAATCCCATTGACTTTGAACGAAAACCCCTTGTGCAAGTAGTATTTGCCATACGAAGTTTTCAAATGTGCCTTATAACTTCCAAGTGATTCCTTATCTCTATCAAATAAAGTTTTAGTAAAATCAAAATTAAGGAATCTTGGATGTATGGAGGCAAACAAATTTCTAACACATCTAGTAAGTAGGTCATTAATAGAAACATTGCAAACAAATCTAGAGAGTTTTAATGCATGCTTTTGAAATAAAAGTGAGTAAATAGTTACTCCCCTTCTTTTCTCTTGCTTATTATCCTTTTTTGTTAGCAAGCAAGGCTGCACTTTGATAGCTCTGGCCGGTTCTTTCCACTGTACCACTGATAGTGGTTCCTTTGTTTGGCTACAATATAAGTTAGAGGACTGGAG